GTACTTAGTTAGTTTTTGTAATCACAGAAACAGAGAAGATTTTTAAAGAATAATGCATTTTCATTATATAATCAAAAGAGCCCCGACCTAACACCAGAACCCCTGATCCTGGGGCGATGAAATTCACAATTTTGGAAGAGGCACTATTGCTCATTAGAACTCTGTACTTAGTTAGTTTATTTAAAACCCAAAAGCAGAGAAGAAGGTTTTCAAATAATAAATCCATTTTTACGATATAATTTATATAGCCCCGCCCTAGCACTAGAACCCCTGACCCTGGGACCATGAATTTCACAATTTTGGTAAAGGACTCAATGTGCATTACACTCATGCAAATAACTTTCCTGCTTGATGTCTAGGAGGAAAGAAGGTTTTTAAAGATTCCATTAATTTTACTGGTTTCGGCCCAACCCCTCAGGCCCTAGAGGAGCGGGGACCATTAAATTCACAATATTCGTTCCCCTTCACTTATTATTGCTGTACAGCAAATCTGGGAGAAATTGGTTCAGTGGTTTCATAGAAACTGAAAATGTTCAAATGTTAACACATGACGACGGACAAAAACGGATAGCAATAGGTCACTTGAGTTACTCAGGGGACCTAAAAATACATTGGATGTGTATTTGCGTAACAAATTCTCAACTTCTTGCCAAACACTAGCTCAAAATATACATTCTGTATTTTCAATTTAAGAAGCCACATGTTCTCACTTACAAATGTACGTGTAATTGCGAATCTACACGATGTGTGCAACTTATAGAATTACACTGTATGCAAAATGGATGACGTTAATCGAATAAAATTACGGGAAGTCCCTTGTTACACGTACACGTACATGTAGACGTACAGGGTCATCTGCTTAACCTCTTTAATTACAATAGATACGAGGATTATCTGTTAAGTTCGAAAACAACATTGATAATTACTGACAATCATTGATAAAATAAATGAAACTATTATTTTCATTGAACTCGTGTTTTATTTTATACAAACACGCAAAAGAATCGCAACACCCTATTTAGGGGGAAAAGTTATATAAAGTAAAGAATTTTGTATCTTAAAATTATGGATCTTCAAATTGGTTGAGATCGGTATTTAACTGTTGAACATTTCCTAACCATAACCGGAAGTCAAGTTTGACTTTGCTTAACCAAAACCAAAAATTGCATGTTTAACAAACCATTTGGCAATATTATGGAGTTTTAAGTGTTTTTACTATTCATCATAAGTAATGCAGCAATATTTCAAAAAATAAACCCTCCTTTCGTTTCCCGTAACGATGTTCAGGCTTCTTGGAAATGGCTTTAGTACGCATTTTCATTGTTCTGTCTGGAAAATATCAATGTAAAGGTGCTGGAGAGCTGCTGATGCAAAAATTCACTACATTACGCCTTAGCAGTGTCTTACGTATCATATGCATTAAGGACAGTCCTTGTATCGGAAGTCCAAGGGTGGCTACACTGCTCTTAGTTAAAGACCTAATCATCTGAAAAACGGGCATTTAAAAAAGGCTAAGAATAATTCCTTTGCTCAGATCTCAATATTGACGACCCTATTGTATCGTAGAAATTAAGCTGCAATTGTTGTGACAGTCTTGCACGTTTTACTTGAATGGCTGGTAGGGGGTGTTTAAATAGTCATATGTTACTTAGTAAAGTAAAAAGATAAACATCTAATATTTTTATCAAATCTCTGATGTTCTGAAAAGTGAGGTTAGCCTTACTGTATTCATATTTGAAAATCATTAGATAAAAAATCAAACATTTGTAGATTACTGCTTGTTGCGTTTCTTTTGCGTTTAAGTATAATAAATGCAAGTTTCAATAAAAAGCAAAGCACATATAAAAAAAAAATCATATTTTTATCAAATACAAAAAGAAAATTGCACTCATACTCGGAGCACTGAAACGAAATCCTTGACATTCCCCGACAAAAGATAAATACCTATTTCAACTTTTCTCAGCGAAGTCACCGTTTAACTCAACACATTTCTTATACATGTAACCAGTCATCAAAATTGTGCACAAATAGTCTGGTTTCAGACAGGAAATAATATTTAACAATTCCTGACTCCGATTCTGCAAATCATCAAACTCCATTCGAATGAAAAATGAAAAGAATTCATTAAAGGAATATACAGGAAAGTCATGCTACAAACTTTATTTTTACAGATATTCAATCTTAGAAAGATGGTCTTTCCTCAAGTAAATTATCCTGTAAATTGTCCCTTACGTCCGAAAAGCTTAGGTCTCACTACAAACGGCTTGATTCCCCGAATTTTAAGGAGTTTAAGGGTCTCTGTTGGTAATTTTTCGATGTCTTTAACAAATTCATTATTGCTCTTTGCTCCACCTTTACCGAAAATGTCCCATTTTATTTAAATTACGATCCCGTCTTAATAGATTCTAATGAAATGTATAAAGCACTTGAAAAATAACTTTTTACGTACATTTTTGCCATGTCTCGGGTCTCAATTCCAATTCGATTAATGAAAACATACGTGTAATCGTTATTTTTCATTTAGAGTTGAATCAAATTTAACAATTTGTTATTCACATATAGTTAGGGATTTTTTTTATATCATCATAATAAATATTTATGACGAAACTTTTATTTTGATTTTAGCTTGTCCACGAACCTAACGGAGAACTCTCGTACATGTAATAATAGTTAATTGTTTGTCGGGATTTCTATTAATACCATTGCATTTTCAGTGAGCTAAATTACAACAAAAGTTATGAATTGATATTTACATATTCATTATATTTACATACACATAAATATACTGTACATGTACATGTGATCATTAGCATAATGATGGTAAAACTTTTCCTTACTTAAAAAATTATACACTTACAAAAACATTACAAGTAAAATCTATATGCAGCATGTGCATAAATGGAATTGGCTTTTTATTTACGGAAAATATAACGATTATGTAATTTTGCTTACAGATCTGTACACACACCCCTTTTTAAAAGACTGGAATACTGTATTGTGAATAATCCTTAAACAAGGCACAACAACAGCTATTTAATCATACTTACAGATAAGGGATTTTAACAATAGAGGATATGCATACGGACGACAGTAAAACGAAATAATAATGTTCCAAGGTTAAAAAAAAATCACGAATAAACTGTTTCATTATGTGAATCATCGTATGTGGAAGCATGTTTACAGCAAGAGGGAAAATGCCTTGCCACAAAATAAAATAATTCGCAAGCATGAAAATAAAATAAAAAGATAAAATATATACAAATTACATGCATGAAATTATATTTTTCCATCATTTAATGCAGGTCAAACATCAAAATCTGTCACGTGTGTTAACTGAAGAAATTGATGAGATATCAACAGGATGTACTGCATTTCTTATAATACGTTATTTTTAAATGATCAAAAAAGAGCAATCAAAGTTTTCTTGTTAAAGTGCTTTCACAATGATAAAAATGAAGAATTTCTGTAATAGGGCTATACATGTAGACATTTGTCAAAGGGACATGGACACAGTTTTAACTGCATGATTTTTACTATTGTTAATTCATACAATTCCTACCGTTCACGGTACATGTAGCTCAGTCGGTAGAGCGCTCGCTTCTTGATCGGGAGGTCGCACGTTCGTATCCCGGCCGCGACTGACCTAAGTCTATAAGAAAGGGGTAGCAACTGTTCCTTTGAAGTGAAAGTTGCGGGTCCTTCGGATGAGACCTTAAAAACCGAGGCCCCGTGTCAGCGGCAGGCGTTGGCACGATAAAGATTCCTCACTGCTCAATGGCCTTATTTTTATTTAATAAACAAAATATCCTATTTATAACGAAATGAAATTCAGAAAATTCCTAGAAACTGTCTAATTGTAATCAAAATTAACTTATATCTAATGTAACCAAAACGTGTTACGGATAAACTGTTTGTATAACAAAGGTTTGGAACTCTTAAAGCTATCGCGCAAGAATATAAAGCGCTATGCGTATTAAATTCAATACGGTGTCGGTACTATTTCTCTTCTCTGCTAATGTTCCTATTCCATATATAAGACGATTGGTCACCGTCACGGATTGTTGCACAATCAACTAAAAGGCCTAGTGTTTACATCGATAGGTATGTCAAACCTGTACTGTCTATGGGATTATCCATACAAAGAAAATTGCACACTAATCGTAAATCAGAAATAAATAAAAATAATAAAAATGAAAAATAAAACATGATCGATTGAGTAAATAAATGTTTTGACAATTACTTGTAACTTACACGTTATTACAATCAAACTGCAGTGAGTGCAACACATCGAACGCTTCAAAAGGGACTATTTGCAGACAGCACAGGATTGATGGATCCCACGGTAAGTAGAAATAAAAATAAAAACAAACAGAATAAAATATCCAAAGTCTTTTACGAAATACAGACAGAGTGCATTCACGCCCTTCCGACATGTTGAAAAGTCACTTGACAATCCAGTTTTCTAAAAATAGATGGCAAATTTTTCCATTTTTGTGCGCATGCCTCTGCAAAGGATCAGTCATTATTTTTATTCACTGAAAATCTATGTATCTATTCAATACCTGAAATACATGTAAACCTCCAACGTATCGTTTAAAACAAATTCTAGAAGTAATAAAAACAAACACAAAATAATTTATATTTCTGATATGTTTTACTCATGTTGAGTGGTCTGTATAACACCCTGAAGAACTGGGAAGGGGGGGGGGGGGGTATATTACACCAATGTGAGGGTGCATGTATTCAAATAAATACTTGATTTTTTATTCTTGGTTTGATTAATAGGCACAAAATAAGTCTTTTCTGCAATTTAACTTATTGATGAAGATATGTATCAACACACATACACACATATAGATTATAAATATAGTTACATGTCTTGTCACTGGTGTGTTTATTTAGAATGTACAAAAATCAAATAATCAAAATAAAATATAAATTTTGATACCAGAATTTATCTACAGTTTATATCGCTTTTTATACAGCATTCTGGAATCATGATGGAATCTGAGGAAGAGACTACAGATACAGAGGTGATAATTATTTTTTTTAAAAGGCAACCCCAACCCTTTGAAAAAGAGAAGTGATAAATATAACGTTCTAGTGGTACATGTACGGAGTAGGGTAAACAAAACAAAGGAACAAACAAAAAATCTCATGTATCTGATTATCTTAGTGACTATAATTTATATCTACCGGTATATTATAAACATCTCATGTTCATGCATATACTATAATTTTTTTAAATATCAATGAAAAATAGCCTCTTTTATATAATTATAATACACATACAAAACAGGAATTTTTCTTAGATTTGATAAATTATTGGAACAATATATATGCTTTATGCCGTACGAGAAAAATGTGCCAAATAATAAAATATTAATGTTACAGTAAACATGTAATCTCTCAAATCATTTTCTTTCATCCTTTATAATTCTTTTATCCTCAATAAAATATAGGAAAGTGAAAGTTCTGTAGACAAATTACTCCGAGATATATTTGGAGACGATGATGTCAATGAAAGGATAAATTCAGAAGAAGAAAATACAGAGGGAGAAAATGACACTGATGAATCAATGTGGCATAAGTATGCTCTCTCTCTCTCTCTCTCTCTTCAAGAGCGCTTATATTGAAAAAAAAAACTTTAATTGTATTTATATATGCTACATTACTTATTTAATTTTTGGAAGGGTGAAAGAGGATGATGAGGAAATTCATCTCCTAAACGACAGGAGGTTTATAGTCGGTGAAAGAGAATTGCTATATCTGATAGAAAGAACCACGTGTTCCGAGTGTGGAGAGCGCATAGACAGTTCTACCATTCAGGAGGGGGAGAAGGTTGCGGCTGGTGTAAAATACCAGTACCTCTGCATCGTACGTATACAAAATATAAGCAAGTTTTCATGGTTTTTTCGCTGAGTGATATTTGTATAAAAGGGAAGAAAAATAACAAAAATGCAACACAATAATTTTTTATGAATATAAGTTGATTACTGAATATTACTACGTTTTACATTTATCTCGACTTTAAAATATTATAAAATGTATAAGATTTAGATGAAAAAGAAAACATATACCATTTTTAAAAAGTCCTGGTTTATTTTACAATTGTAATCAAGTGTCATTGGCGTCGTAAGCAAATTGAAATTGTGTGTGTGTCTGGGGGGGGGGGGGGGGTAGGTGAAAGAAAAAAAAGCTTCAAAACCTGCAAAAATAATTTGTGTAGCCAAAAGAAAAAAAGGAAAATGTGTGAGATTGTTTAAAAAACATTAATATTTCCGGGGGATGGTTAAACTTCTTTTAGTACCACTTTTTTTTATTAAAAAAAACAACCATTTAAATCTTCTCTTGACCTAGACTGGAGCGTGCATATTGAAAGCGGGGGCGTGGGGTGGGGGTGGGGGGGTTAACTTACGTCCAAATGTTAAATGTCTATATTATGTCCATTTTTGAAAAAAAGACAGCGGAGAGCTACGCTCTCTGTCCCCGTGCCTAACCGCCTCGGTTTTGAAGCAGAACAGAAAGGTTTATAAAAAAAGTATAATAAGATGGTTGGAAGTAAAATGAGGCATTCGTGATTACTTTTATTACATGAATACACATGACGAGAATGATCTAAAAATTTATTTTGTAAATTTCTGGAAAAAACAGAATGCACACAAAAACAAATGGATTTCAACTCCATTTTATGGTGGAAAGAGTCTGGTGGCATTGCTAATACAACTGATGGTGTTGTTATCTGGGGCATCTTGGAGTAAGTTTGCCGCTGGAGCCAAGTTTATAAACTTAGTAACAGGCTGTTCCCGTGCATTTTACCACCATCAACTTCTGTATAAGGTAATTGTAACTTGTTGTTTTTTAAAAAATCATATTTGGAATTAATACCAAAAAAATCAAAGTAGACCATCTACATATTACTCTCTTTGCAGGAGGCAATTAACAGTTTTTTTGAAAAACACCTGACTAATGTACATAAAAAATTAGCGGGCAAGCCCTTGAGCCTAGCAGTGGACGTTCGTTATGACTCACCAGGTACAGGAATTATGTCCTCTTATATCTAAAGAAATGTCAATTTTCAATTATTATTATTATTTACTATGAGCAATATAATTTATGCTTATACAGAACATCGTTTTTTAAAATAGATTATTGAAAATTTTGAAGTTATGAGAAAAGAAATTGACAATTAAAAAAATAGGAGATTGCCTGAAATTCTAGTTCATGTGTTAGGGTGTGTGTGGAGGGGGGGGGGGGGGAGGGGGGCAAAGTCTTTCAGAAAAAAGTTTAAATCATATACCTATACCTTTACTTTAAACTAATTAGTCTTTACCAAAAAAAGCACTGTGGGTCCTTTTAATGAAAAAGTGGAAAAAGCCCCCCCCCCTATTTCCACCTACGTGCCTAACGTATCTAGCAGCTGTATCAAGAGATAAAGAAAAAAAATGATATTTTTAAAAAAATTTTAAATATATATATATATAAGCCAGGGGGGTCTGATGGCCTGGTGGCTGTGCTGAAACCCCCGGTGGGTCTAAGGCAAGGTCCTTTTGGGGCAAGTACTTACAAATAGGAAATGTTTTCCTTGATACTAGTAACAAGATAATGGACTTTTAAATTTTATATACAAATGTTTCGAGTGGGGGGGGGGGGGGTTGCAAGCTCGGTCGCCGGCCCAGGAACCGCCTTTGATATAGTATATTTTATCTACTCATAATATAATCAGAAGTTGAAATAAATTTTTTTTGTCCTTTTAGAATCGGACAGGTTTAAACATATACGCCACAGTTTGGATATTTGGCATAAAGCTAAGAAACTTGCGTATATGTTGGGGGATGCTGCAAAGAAAGCTGCCCATCGGAGTTTATTGCCATGGATCCGACCTACTGTAAACCACTTCTGGTATTGTTGCAACACATGCAGTGGGGATGTCCAGAAACTTATCAAAAAGTGGTTTAAAATACTCCACCATGTTACAAACGAGCATGAGTGGTCAGGTGGCAGGTAAATATCCTTCATGAAAACATACCTATACTGAAATATTATTGAACTGGGTTAAAAAAAAATATTTTATGATTTAATCTTTTTGAAAATTTACAGATGTAATCATAGTAAAGACACAAATGCAGGTGTTGAAAAGTGGATTTCTAAAGATTCATCAACTTACAGAGAATTCCGGTACGTATTTACTAATTAGTGAAATAAGTGAACACACGTACATATTACTCTTATTGACAGATCAGATCGCACTACCTATATAAATCAATTGTAGAACAGATCCTTAAAATTGAAGATCCTAAATCCTTTTTATTATTTTTATGTAGAAAAATCGTTGTAAATAAGGAGTTTACAGGAAATTTCCAATATTACACGACCTGTAAGCAAACGTGGGCAATCGAAAATCTCTATTTCCACACTCTCCTCCACTACTGTCAAAAACAAGTGTCATTTGGATTTGACTCCTGCGTCATGAGGAACCAGCTTGCTGTCATCGATTACAACCACCATCTGGACAGAGAGATTCAGCAAGCGAGAGATGGAACCAGCGTCCCTTTCGTCCAGTTCTCACGCAAAACAAAGCAGTTGGTTGCTTATGATAGACGAGTTGCTAAAAGTTATACTTATATTCCTGGTACGTATATATATATTTTTTTCATATTTTAATTTTTAGCTTGAGGAAGGGGGGGGGGGGGGGGGGTTGAAATGATATTTATAAAATAAGAATTGTTTCATAAAGTGGTATTTTTTGTTCATTTATTTTATACATCGGGGAAGCTGGAAGGGTTAAAATACTGTAAAAATATGAATAAATTATTAAATACAAATCTGCATTTTAGATCTCATCGCTACTTGCATTAGACAAACGTATGGAGCCCGAAGAGAGGCATACACAAAGAGCGCACAAGCCAAAAAATTAGATGGCATTGCCACTAACCTTTCGGGAGATATTACGCCGTCATCTAAAGAACTTTTAAACAGTAGAAAAAAAAGAAAAACTTGTGGTGAGTAACATTTCTCTTTTAATCTGAATCAGAGTATAGTGACTCATAGCCCTTATAGTCCATTGGATTTACTTCAGGGAATCGAAGTCGTATATGTCGACATACGCAGGATGGCACTACCACTCGCCTTCCAGCTCCAAGGCGACCATGCTGCCAGAGGACAAAATTACGGTACGCCTGGTTCCTGAACGTACTGGCCCTGAAGCTAGGATCCAGATTTGTTCGGAAACTCCAGTTCAGAATGTTCGCAATCTCAATTACATCGTGCCTGAGACATAGATTGCGAAATTCCGGCCTCGTGGTGATGCACTGGGGATGACCACAGCAGATGTTCATTCGTGGGTCAGAAAAAACTGTACATTTCCCACAGCAACACCACGAGGCAGCACTGAAGTTGCCCGAACAAAAACCACTAGTTTCTAGCAAATACGGGGCCAGTACGTCAGGAAGCAGTGTAGCCGCAACTGACACCCTGGCACGGAGCTCCGCCTCTGGCATTGAGGAAATTGCGTTCTGAAATAACAATTTTTTTTATGAATGAATAAGAACGATTTTAATTAACAAAAACGGATGCATAAAGAATGGAATTTAGTTGTATGTCTGTTGGTCTTGTATAATTTTAGTGTACCTGCAAGCTCACTGCCTGACCCTGGTCTCTGTTATTTTCAGGCCTAGACCTATCCGCCAGCTGTTGATTTAGGGAAGGGACACCATCTTCTCCTGTTGCATTCCTCCTGCTATTCTGGGCATAGGGATGAAACCTGCGTTGTTGAGGATGCCCCTCTGCCTCCCTGAACTGGCAATTTGCATTTCTGCAGTTCGTACATCCACTCCTCCTGCATACGCAACTTTTGCATTGCCCTCTATTTTGACATGCACAACAATTTATCTAAAATACAAAAACTGTATGTACATGTTTTTACAGTAGATTCTAACAAATACTACTCCTCACGGATTTTGAAAGACCTTCTGTATGGGAATGGAAGAAATAATTTACATGTGTAAGAAAGGAAATGTTGTAGATATTTTTTAGAGGGGGGGGGGGGACTTGTTGTTACATGTACTCAGTATCTATTTTTTGTAAAAATAACTTTATTTTTATGAAGAAAAATACAGCTTTAATACATGTATACTTCTCCATAATGAGTGTGTTTTTGCTTCCTGTTTTCTATTAATTAGGCCTGGGGTTAATGATATTTTATGTAACCTCCAATGCTTATATTTTACACTATTTATGTATGGATTATACATTATCTATATACTTATTGTATCTAAGGGGAAATGCAATCAAACCAGGGATCTTCATGAAAATTGATTTTAAAAACATAAAATACATTTTAAAACCACACTTTACATTTTTAAAACCACACTTTACAATGTAATTCGTAGATATCCGTTTCTATATATTTTTTGAATTCAATCATCAGAAAATGGTCAATAATGACTGATCCCTCTCAGAAGCATGCGCGCAAAAATGGAAAGTTTGCCATCTATTTTTAGAAAACTGGATTGTCAAGTGACTTTTCAACATGTCGGAAGGGCGTGAATGTACTCTGTATTTCGTAAAAGACTTTGGATATTTTATTCTGTTTGTTTTTATTTTTATTTCTACTTACCGTGGGATCCATCAATCCTGTGCTGTCTGCAAATAGTCCCTTTTGAAGCGTTCGAAGTGTTGCACTCACTGCAGTTTGATTGTAATAACGTGTAAGTTACAAGTAATTGTCAAAACATTTATTTACTCAATCGATCATGTTTTATTTTTCATTTTTATTATTTTTATTTATTTCTGATTTACGATTAGTGTGCAATTTTTTTGTATGGATAATCCCATAGACAGTACAGGTTTGACATACCTATCGATGTAAACACTAGGCCTTTTAGTTGATTGTGCAACAATCCGTGACGGTGACCAATCGTCTTATATATGGAATAGGAACATTAGTAGAGAAGAGAAATAGTACCGACACCGTATTGAATTTAATACGCATAGCGCTTTATATTCTTGCGCGATAGCTTTAATCTATCTTTTATCTTGACAACTGAAGTTCAAATTTTAATGGTCATCAGAAAGACCCTGGTTAAATAATTTTAAAAATGGAAAAAATACATTTGAAAAATTTTAACTGAAACTATGCCTATGCCCCTAAAATATTACTTTATACAAAAGCAATGTTCAAGTGAATGTTGAAAATATTGATGTGTTGGAATCACTGGCTAGTATACTAATAATTAATGACGAAGTGAAAGATATTGAGTTTAAATCCTAGCAAGAGGATGGAGATATATTGTTGTAATGTCATGAAGTGTCCTTTAAAATGTAAATTAGGTGTATGTAACAACAATAAAACACCTCAAAGTCATAGAATCGAATACCTTCAAACAAATGTTTTTCCTCAAACTACAAAAAATATATGATTTCACATTTTAGTAAGCTTATAAAGTATACAAGAAAAAGAAAAATTCTTTGCTTCTTTACTTATATATTTAAAACAAAAGGAGGTCAATAATATGCACGGCAACTTATTTGAGATGGGAAAAAGCCGATATTTTTATCATTTTTTGCATTGAAATTGGCATTTTTGAATGTCTTTTTGTGAGATTACTTGTCGCAGAAAATTAATCCTGAAAGTAATTTCACAATTTTTATAAAATTGCTACTCGTCGACATACAAAAACAAAATTTTACATGTTGAAAGCTATATTTATTTCAAATCAGACCTGAAAAATTAAAATTAACACAAATTATAATGTTCAATATATCGAATTATATACAACGTGCCATTATGGTAGTGGAAGCACCTAAATAATGTGATATAGCGAACTTTTCCACATCGTGCTATTAACGAATACGTTTATTCCAGATTCACGAACATATTAACATATTTCAGTTTCTTTAACCCATTGTGCACTCACTCTTGTCATAATTTGTATTTTGTCGAAATTATTTGAACAGTACCATAAGACTAACTTACAGTGTTCAAATCGCACCAACCGTTACAGGTCTGTCTGAAAACAGTCGTGTAAGTAGTCAGGATTTTAGACGTGTAAAATGTTATGGTATAGGTTACACCGTGTCCTAGCGTTACTATGATGCAATTATTCCGTAACGTATGATGAAGCGATTCCTTACGGAGTTTTTACATGGATATTTGACCAAGGTAAGTTAATGTCGTATTTGTATGCCTTAAACACAAAATAGCCCTAATTTTGTTAGCCATTGCGTTATAGGAATGACACAGGCATCTGTTGTCATAAAGGACAATGTCAAACGATGTGCCGTTTTCTTAAACACTTTGCACTTTCATAATAAAGAGGCTTAAAAGTTCGATTTATTCATAGAACTTTTTTCCCAATCAACTTACAAGATCAGCTACAAGTTAACCATAATGAAAGTTCGCTACTTTTTTATTTCACTCTAGAATTGTGATGAAAATATTTATTTAATCGCTTTTAACTTGGGTTTTTAGAAGTAACGTATGATGCAACGATTCCCATCATCAGTAACGTGCAATGCAACTATTCTTATAACAATCATATTTTTAGAACAATATATGTGGATTTCTTTCACAGTAAGGAAATAATATTACTCACTGCTTTCTTTTTATCACAGAAAACCAAATGGTTAAGAAAAAAGCAAACTTGACCATAGAACGGCTATAAAACGGAGTCTAATAAAATATTCTCATCAGAATGTATATTTTATGAACGGTATTAAAACGATATTGGTAGGTACTAAAAGTATCATACTATTGATAACTTCTGAGTTTGGCAATAAATTCGTTTTGAAAGTATCTATATAATCAACCCAAGAATGCCGCCTCCGGAACAATTGCATCATAGTAACGCTATGGCACGGTGGGTTATGTACATTTGTAAGTACTAGTTTGAATGTTTGTTATCTGTCACATACTAGTTTGCCCATTGACTGAACATGAACTCATATTGAGTATCGATAATATAAAGGAACATCAAATATTGAAAATAATTTTACCATTGAGTGATTTATTTGATGGGCATCCAGTTTGATAATTGCACTTCTTCTTATTACAGGCACATCGATACTGACAGTCTTGTCCAAAGTAAGGGAAAATACATCTCGCATTACATCTTGGGCCAGTGTAACCGATATCACATCCTAAATAGATAAGCAGAAAATATTATGAGTTCCTTTTCAAATCATATTTAGATTTCTCTCTTGATTGCTATACATAGATATAAACTTCAACATTCTTTTAAGCGATATAAACAAAAAAAAATGATAGTCACTGGTCTTACATGACATCACTAAATGAAACGAGTTTTACATAAGTGCCGTTGATTTCCAGCTTTCCCCAACTCCGTCAATAGGGTCTTTTACAATATCCCAACATATTAAAGAAAATTTGTCCCTAGTTTAACTTCTTACATCTTTAATCAATTAACATAAAAAAATTGTTTTAAGATTTCAACAAATATAAAAGTGCATTTTTAGAAAGACATCGCCTTAAATTGAGCATTTTATCGCTCCTGTATGAGAATTTGATGAAAGAATCCATTAGGGAACCGGTGCGTAGTAGTTATTTTACGAAAATATGACACCTTAATTAATTTTGTGTAAATGAGTTTTAACTTGACGTCAAGGCTAAAAAATTTTTTTAATTTTTTTGGGTAGATTTTTACTATGAAAAAATGATGTCATAATAGCATTCGTTTACAAACAGAGCAGATTTTCCCAAAATTGATGGAATTTCGTTAGTGACGGAGTAAAGGAGTTTGGCGAGATATTTTTTATACATAAACTTTCTTTCTAAATGCATTACTGATAAACTTACTTTGGCATTTTCCGGACGTTATGTTCAATTCAAATCCGTCACAACAATCATCTGGAGACCTATAAGTATGAAAGAAATATTTATTCTAGTATTTATATAACAGTAAAGAATTTTGATTTTTCGCTTAAATACTGTACATGTACCTGAGAAATTGAAAGAATAATGACTTATTTATACAAAACATAACAAAATGGAAAGACCCTTAGGAAAAAAAAGAAACGTACTAAATAATTCACTTACTAAAACTTTAATGCAATAACATCTGAAGGGCAAAATAAAACAATGTGTACATTCACAAGTTAAATATTGTGAAAATGAAATGTTTCTTTAGTTTTCTATTTATACACTGTATTAAAAATTTAGATGCACCGATACTAAATCTTACTTGCAATGCACTAAACCCCAAACTCTTTAAATAAACATACCTTTTATCTGAACGTTCGGAAGAGGTATTCACTGTTTCATCATCGCCTTCTCTTCTGCATGCTAAAAAAAGGAATTTTCCCTTACCATAAAATGCACTCCCTGCCGAATTCACCTTGAACAAACATGGAAAGTAAAGATACGCTGACAAACAAAGGAGCCATGATTGTATTGAACATGAAAAACAATATTATCCTGCAAAGGAAATGTAAATCCTTCGATACATCAAAATTACTAACAAAATTTTCTCACGTGAAAAAAGGACAAAAATAGAGGACGTTTATTGAACTTTTTCCGGCTTATGTCTGGTCGTCCTATGTAGAGGAGATCGACACAAAGAAATGGCTTTGCTTGACATCTGTCCATTAGTTTACCTAGTTGTTTGGGCATCTGTTCTTCCTTTGCCACAATAAATATCAAATCCTTTAAAATTTATATTTTAGTTTGCTTTAAAAATAGCGGTCGGGATTTTATATTTTTGCTTTCGTCTTGCTTTAAATACTAGCATTTCTTAAAGAGTAGGGTTACCGACACCTACTGTGTTGAGATTTAATTATATTGTAGATTTCCTTTTTCCGCGTGGTATTAATTAACGCTATATACGCGGTCACAAATTTTCCGCAGTAATTTGTCAAAGCGTACTTACTATAAATGCAAGGTATATAATAACAGTCTGGAAAATCCGCGTAATTTTCAACCCGCGGATTACTCGCGTGCGGAATTATGACCTCGTGAAAAAAAGTACGTCCACAGTATGGTCATAGATGATTTTGTAAAAACAATTCCTTGCTGATTTCAGTGTTTCCTTTTGTTTACTGATTTAAAGCCAGTTATCTATACTTATGCTTAAAATTCTTTACAGTTTTAATGTATGTCACTGCTACCAGAACGTAGAGGGAAGATAACATGAACCGTAAAGAAAAACCGGGTGCTTTCAAAGCACCACAGATGAAAGCATTAGTTGAGGGAAAAGAAGCAGTATTATATCAAATGATGTACGACCAGCGACCAAAATCATATAGATCTTGTTTTTTCTGTGTCGGATCATTACAAAGGTAGCAACAAATTGTCCTTCTATGTCTCTTGCGTTTATCGAGAGTCGTCCAAAGCAAGAAAAAAAAGCATTTTTAATTATTGGTCTTTGATGGAAAACTTCGGGTTTTTTTTTTTGAAATATATTTTTAAAATAAATAAATAAACAAAAAATACAATTTTGTTGGAATCGATTTTTATATACATTCATTAAAATGTTAAAGTGCAGAAAACATCTATGTAGTTTAACAAATCTAAAAGGGACATTTACGCATGCACTTTTTATTTAATATCTTTACCGAAAACCAGATACTTCATCGAGAAAAAAAAAAACGATCGAATAATTTGCATCTAATAAATTTTTCTTTATTTCTGATTCACTACACTTCCATTCCTCAAGTCTGCATATGCAGTCAAAGGAACTAAATATTATATCTGATTAATTTCATTTCAATTACTGATGGGAAATATATTTTTAATATTAAGTCCCTTCATGAATTTCCTATTGAAATGCAGATGTATCACTTATGTTTCTAGCATTTACGTTATCTATGAACGACATAATCTGTAGATAAAGAATGCATACCGGGGTTCATAGCATGATTAGGTTTTCCCAGTTTTTCTTAAGCTTGCCAAGATATCTACGAGACACATCGCTTGCCTGTGCAATGTGAATATGTATGGATTTTTTTTTTTTGGCGTGAGCAATTGATGAATAGCTTTGCAAAATGCATACTTTTCATTCACGTGTGCATATCTATTATTTACACACTAATAATCCCCATTAACCTTTAGAATTTTGTTCTTATATTTATATTTTAATTTTTCTTAAACACCAAACATTTGTAATCGTTAGATTTTTGATATGCATGCTTTTAAACTCTTTGTAACATCAATATAACATGAGTTTCTCCTTGTATACTTCTACGCGTAAGTTTTTACGTAAATGGCTTCGAATTATTGTCACAACTTGTCAAATAGAAGAAATACAGCCAATGCCAATAAATATAACTGACAAAAAACTAATTCCTCTCTCCCTTTACCTTTGCTTTTTTTTTTTCATATGATCAAGCCTGTATCTACACTTTCAGGAGGTTTCGAACATATTTTTTTTGCATCATGACTTTAAATATGTTTAAAGATTTTTCCTTCATATGTATAATTTAATACACTGTTGTGACAACAACATATATGTTAAAATAAGACCAAAATCTTCAATCTGCACTACCTGGGAAAAGTCTGTATTAGTATGACTAATCGTCATTCTGCTACTCTTGAGAGAACTCAAGGCTTTTAAAAGATACTTCCTCTACATTTATATGTAATACAGTGATCTGCTATTAATTGTGCCCTAAAACTACTCCTGGCAGTGTTGATTGAAAAAAAAATCTACACTACCGAAGGAATGTCTATTATCATTATGACAGATTATGGTTTTGTTGTATTACAGAGAAATAAAATTTTACAAGATATTTCATTTACATTCATTTGTATTGCATAGGTGTCCTGTTCCGACCCACCCTAACAAAAAAATTAAAGCTAACAAAAGTTTACGATAATAAATCAAAGTGTCAAAGTGTTCACTTTAGTAAATCAAAGTGTCAAAGTGTTCACTAAAGTATATCAAGGTTTTCAGAGTGTAAAATTTATCAATATGGTTAATTATAGTTAACTATACTTAGGTATAATATACTATAATAAACCATAGTTAACTATGGTACTTTTCTGTAAGAAGCTGCCTAAGCATAGCAGTCATGGTTTGAAAAAGAAATAATCATATAAATATGACTAAAATGACTTTTCCTTGCATTTGTATTTTCTTAGGATTGTCCCTTGTACTCCCTCCCATCCCTTCTCCTATGGCGGTTATGATTTGAACAAATATGAATCTACAATTTGTCGTAAATCTTTCACACTAAATAAGTTTTCTTTTTGTCCAGTAGTTCTTGAAAGGAAGATTATAAAATGACCCAACTTGATGTTAACTTATAGTTTCATGTATCTTGGAGGAGAGTGTGGCAGCCGTTTTGAACAAATATGAAAGAAAATCAGAAACGCTCGACCCTTCAGCTCAGGTGAGCTACATTTAAAACACTTTTAATAATTTCTATCATGTGGAGAAAGTATTGATTTCTAACTTGAAATTCGTTTCAGCCAATAGATAAGGCTCACAGGTGAATGTGATCATAAAACATAAGGTTTAATTCCAGATTTAAAACGCAACAATTCACCCTAAGTTCCTTTATCAGACTTTAAAAGGCAAATGAAAAATGGATACCAAGTCTGTTTTTCTTTTATCTATTGTATTTCGGTTAATTGTAGAGATTGTCGCAGTTGAACATGTACAGAAGTCTGTAAGTACCATTATTTTAGCTAATATTTTTTAATAATATTTCTTACGTACTTATAAAAGAAAAAAATGTGTCTTTTCAAGGATATTATTTTCATATACAGGGAATACAAGAATGCAAAGAATCGTTGGGCACCGTTCGTCGTGTAGACTACTGTCCTTCAAATGAAAGGTCGTGGAAGGAGGCTGAATTTAAAAAAGGATGTGGAAATATTAAACAGGATTGTGTGGATTCCAAGCGCTTCCTTTATCATTGTATATTAACTGACATGATGAATGAAACGATTGAAGTGTGCGCTCCAATTCGGGTGATGTTCGGTATATTTTATTATAAATATAATACTGTTGTGTATGCATTTTCGTAAAGCTTCCACAGATCGCTGATGAAAGCCCTAAAGCTTTACTGGGGATTTTTTGTAAATTTCTTTCATTTTGATATATATATAGATATACATATATATATATATATTTATATATGAATACATACACAAACCTGGTGCCCAATAGGAAAAAACAACCCCACTAATTAAGGTATGGAAAAATCTTTCTGAAACACTTCAACGGATCCAACGGAAAGTGTTTAATCTTTCATCCAGGACTCTTACAGATGCTGAAATCAAATTACTCTCTAAAGGTTTCAAGTATACTCCTACACCTAAAAGGAACCATCAAGAATTAAAAGCAGATATTAAATCGTATACACGACGACTAAGATTAAGGGAGTTTTTCCACGAGAATAAGGACGAAGATGATTCTTTTGAACACACTGAAAATACACAGCCCGGGGATCTTGTAAGAAATTAGTAAAAAATCATAACAAAACAAGGAAGAAATCGTACTTTAGATGCTGATAGTGAGACGCTAGAAAACATCAATCTTCCAGATACCAGCATATCTGATAATAAATCAAATCTTTCTAAAGATGAACAAATTACCCTGCAAGACTTGTGTAGCGACAAAAGTATTTTAATTAAAGAAGCAGACAAAGGAGGAAGAGTTGCGATCATGGACAAAGACTTTTACGAAAATAGAATTCTGACCATGCTACAAGACACCGAATTTTACCAAAGGATTAACAAAACACACGAAAAGAAATCGTTGTCAAAGATAAAATGTCTCGTCCATGAACCTTTTTCTGAAGAATTAACAGACAAAGAAAGGGATTATCTTTTAAATTTTGAGGCCCGATAAAGTTAGTTTTACGGCCTACCTAAAGTTCATAAATCGAAGGAAATTAAGAATGCGATTGAATCTCAGAATTCTGAATATATCAACCGTCTCAATTCACAGGATTTATCTTTTCGAACTATTGTTGGAGGTCCTCGACGACCCAATGACTGAGCCATTTATAAAATATGTTGCTGAAACCATTGTGTGAAAAAGAGATGATCTTGACTTCCTGAATCATTTACCAGACATCGTAAAGGATAATACTTAATTTGTTACATTTGGTGTTCTTAGTTTGTATGCTAACATTCCAACGGAACTTGGAATAGAAGCGATAAAATTCTGGATAGAAAAACATCCTTACCTTCTTCACGATCGTTTTCCACAAGACTTTGTCTTTCAAAGATTGAAATTCGGCCTTCAAAATAATACATTTGCCTTTGGTAATTTCCATTTTAGCTCACCTGAGCCGAAGGCTCACGTGAGCTTTTCTGATCACATTTTGTCCGGCGTCCGTCTGTCCGTCCGTCCGTCTGTCTGTCTGTAAACTTTTCACATTTTCGACTTCTTCTCAAGAACAGCTGGGCCAATTTCAACCAAACTTCCCACAAAGCATCCTTGGGTGAAGGGGATTCAAGTTTGTTCAAATAAAGGGCCACGCCCTCATTCAAGGGGAGATAATTTAGAATTAGGGAAAATTTGGTGGTATGTTTTAAAAATCTTCTTCTCAAGAACCACTGTGCCAGGAATAATGAAACTTATTGGGAAACATCAACAGATAGTGTAGATTCAAGTTTGTTCAAGTCATGTCCCCGGGGGCGGGGCCACAATGGCCGACCAAAGTTTTATATAGAAATATGTAGGAAAATTCTTTAAAAATCTTCTTAAGAACAGCAATGCCATAATTGCTAATATTTATATGGAAGCATCCCCAGGTAGTATAGATTTAAGTTTGTTCAAATCATGTCCCCCGGGGATAGGGCGGGGTAACTAATGCCCACCAAATTTTTATATTGAAATATATAGGAAAATTCTTTAAAGATCTTCTTCTTAAGAACAGCAAAGCCATAATTGCTAATATTTATATGGAAGCATCCCCAGGTAGTATAGATTTAAGTTTGTTCAAATCATGTCCCCCGGGGATAGGGCGGGGTTACTAATGCCCACCAAATTTTTATATTGAAATATATAGGAAAATTCTTTAAAGATCTTCTTCTTAAGAACAGCAAAGCCATAATTGCTAATATTTATATGGAAGCATCCACAGGTAGTGTAGATTCACGTTTGTTCAAATCATGACTCCTGGGGGTAGGACGGGGCCAAAATTGCCGACCAAAGTTTATCATAGAATAATATAGGAAAATTCTTTAACAATCATCTACCGTTCACGGTAGCTCAGTCGGTAGAGCGCTCGCTTCGTGAACGAAAGGTCGTGAGTTCGAATCTCGGTCGCGACTGACCTTAGTCGATAAAAAATGGGTAGCAACTGTTCCTTCGCCATGCGCTCGGCACTTTGAAGTGAAAGTTGCCGGTCCTTCGGATGAGACCTTAAAAACCGAGGCCCCGTGTCAGCAACAGGTGTTGGTACGATAAAGATCCCTCACTGCTCAATGGCCCTGAGTGCCGAGTAAAGGTCAAAATTTGAAGCTCTTCACCGGCATACGGTGACGTCTCCATATGAGTGAAAAATTCTCGAGAGGGACGTTAAACAACATACAATCAATTAATTTAACAATCATCTTCTCAAGGATAGCAATGCCATAATTCATCATATTTAAATGGAAGCATCCTCAGGTAGTGTAGATTCAAGTTTGTTCAAATCATGACCCCTGGGGGCAGGGCGGGGCCGCAATGGCCGACCAAATTTTTATATAGAAATATATAGGAAAATTCTTTTAAAATCTTTTTCTCAAGAACAGCAAAGCCATGATTGCTAATATTTATGTGGAAGCATCCTCATGTAGTGTAGATCCAAGTTTGTTCCAATCATGACCCCCGGGGGTAAGGCATAGCCACAATGGCCGACCAAAGTTTTATATTGAAATATATAGGAAAACTCTTTAAATATCTTTTTCTCAAGAATAGCAAAGCCATAATTGCTCATATTAATATGAATGCATCCTCAGGTAGTGTAGATTCAAGTTTGTTCAAATCATGACCCCCGGGGGTAGGGCGGGGCCAAACGTTTGGTTTTACACTTTTCTATAGTAATGTAAACCAATTTCTACTTTTCCTAGCCACAATGCTCGGGTGAGCGATGTGGCCCATGGGCCTCTTGTTTACAAAGTTAAGGAACTGCCATTGGAACAAAAGTTGCACCGACATACCCAACACTTACCTTACGGTACTTCAAACAACACCAACGACTTAAAACGTTGTGCGGAGAAAATATAACAAGAAGGATATGGAGATAACGAAAAGTATTCAATCTCAAAGTCCATCAAACAATACAAAATCAGAGCAGAGCAAACACGGACACCCGAATCATCAGATGAGGGATCAGGTGCTATGGAGGAATGAGCATCTCCTGCTGACCGGTCACACCCGCTATGTGCTCCTTGTCATGAACAGGAAATAACGGAAAAATCCGTCGTCAATTCAGTGTATAAATACGTAGGAAAAACGTCAGTCAGCATTTGACTCAATGATAAATTGTATTTGCTGACAAGGTCATTGTATCGACCGTAGAACTTAAGAAATGATGACTTTAAACAAGACTGCTGATATTCTTGTTTCATCAACTTGCTTGTCAATTATCTAACTCGTTAGAAATTGTTCATACGTAAAACATAATCTTGTGTATCGAATTAACTGAAATATATGTACTCCGTATACAGGTGATGAAGGGATATTGCTGCATAAGTAAGGGAAGTTGACGATAGAAAAGTTAAAGTCATCACGTTTATAATAAAACTTGGTTGTTAGATCACCATTAGTGCCATTAGTGTCTTTTTTAAGTAAAATATCCAAGTATGAAGCTGAAAAGTAGGACTCCGTGGTACTTTTATCTCACGCTCACCAGGAATATCATATCGACGTAGGGATGGAAATTATCATTATTAATTGAGAATACGTCGTCGATATACCTAAATGTAGATTTGAATGCCAAAGCAAGTGTTTTCTTCTTTTCATGCATATTTTTTGCATAAATTCTGCTTCTTTGAATATAAAATAAGTCTGTTACTTACAGAGCGCTATTTGTACCCACAGGAATTCTAAAGATTGTTGGAATACTTGGTCTCCAAAAACCACGTAGATATTGTCAATCAGAAACTCAAGCATCTTCTTGATGTCGACTTCAGAGTACTTAAGTGTGTAACCAGAATCTGTTTTTAACAAAATAGTTTTGCAAATGACCAATGACGAGGTAAGTAAACTTACAAGTTCCATTTTTATTGAAGAAGCAGCTGTCAATGACATCAAAAAGCCTGGATTTTAATTGGTCGTTAGAATTGTTGTGTATAAAGTTGAAACGTCGTAAGTTTTTAAGCTATTGATTTTTGTCAAGTCTTGTGATTTCAAATTGTCCAAAAGTTCTTTCGAATCTTAAAGTATCCACATCTGATTCACACCACTTTTTGAATATACAGTACTCTTGAAGTTTTTTCTTCAATACTATCAATATCTAAGTAAGGAGTAACGAAAGCGGCTTGGTTGAACATTTACTGAAACCTGCAATGTATCGTTGACAAAGACAATTTATAAAGACGTAAAATTTGTCTCATATAGACGTCAACCCAAGAAGCTGAAAAGACTACAAAGTAACTTTAATTATGAAGGAACCTATTCAGTTACTATATGTGGAAATCCTCGATGCGGAACCTGTGAATTTCTAACTGAAGGAACTAGTTATAACTTTAACGGCCGAAGAAAGATTTGCAGTGAACGCCAATATGTCATAAGATACGCAAATGACCTGTCCAGGGTGTAGTGAATATTACACGGGTGAGACCAGTAACACCCTGCATACCCGGTTCGTACCCACAAGCAACAGATTACCACTCCAGACTACCGCTATGTGAACATTTAGACGTTTGCGGATAAAAGACATTTACGATATTTCCGTTTTTTAAGTAGCAGGAGGAAATAATATTTGTAGACGTCAAATAGAAAAAAAACCCATTTTAGCTATGCATTAAAACCAAAGCTTAACAATTTGATATACTAGTAATATATATCATTTTGATTCAATGATGTATGACTTTTATGTTTATATGCAATTTATGTTATATTAAGAGTACGGGTTTCCTACTGTATCAGAGATACAGGACAGGGCTTGAGTCGAGAGCAATAGCTCGAGCCGGGCCCCGCCCTGTATCTCTGATATACATGTAGTAGGAAACGAGTATTCAAAATGACTTGTGACATGACCTTTCTAATGACCTTACCAATTTACATTTGTATTTGGGTACATATCTCTCAACCAATCAAATGATTTTGGCAGAAAGTTGATTTAGTATCCCATTTTAAACATTCGCAACTGAAATGCCGAGGGAAGTGGACGTGCAGGTAATTATTTACTATAATTTTAAAAATAATTATTTGGGGATGCATTATATATTTTGTTTTCCATAAAAAATTAATTTAGATTTGATTTAGAAGGTTTTTTTTCTCTATTCAGTTTTTGCTGACATTTATTTTAAATTTTGCCTACGAATTAATGCAAAACTTTTTCTACATAAGAATCATATTATTGAAACAAAATTGCTTCGGGGATATCGTATTTTGAGAGAAAATGACCGACAATGTCCTCTATCTGTCGTCATATAAAAATTGAAATAAACAGATTAAAGGCAGGGGGGGTTACTTTCATGTCTTTAATAAAATGTAGAGATCCCAAGGAAGGATGCAGTACTCACTGGTGCCCCCCCCCCCATCCCACCCAACTTTAAGGTTGTTTTTTTCTTCCTTTTTTGATTTTGTAAATTATTTTTGCAAAACGTATACACGTGTATACACGTGCGCTTTTTAATTTATCAACAAGTAACTATTTCACGCACATAGTGTCTTAGTTAATTATATACCAACCCCGAAAATGCGATTTTCATTTTTTTGGGGGGGTGGGGGGTGGGGGGGGGAGGTTCAAAGTAATCATTTTAAAAATGCCCAAATTCCTCCTTTTATAATTTTTTTGAATCCGACACTCATAACTTTACGTTGTAGAATTTTATTCTTAATTAAATCACCTCAAATTTTGAGTAATTACCAACAGTGCTTTCATGCGAATCGAAAAATTGTTGTGTCTGATTATGAATACAGATTTCCGTCATCGCTAAAAATAAACGGTACTGTATCGTTGATATTTTGCAGATACAGTACAGTTTCTGTTCATTTGCATAAGATATGCCCACAAAAAGTGTTCTGTATCGCAGTTACTGCATGCTTGACTTCAAAGGAAAACTCGCTGGGTCATGTCACAATGAGAACTTAGAAATTTTCCGTATTTATACGCTATGAGCTGTAAACTAAGACGTCATACATTTGACTTCATATAATAATGACTTCATATATTCCGCCAATTATTGTGTAACGTTACTATGTTACTACAGTTGTTTATTTTGTTAAGCTTCTGAAGATTGGATGAAAGGCCTTAAGTTAAGTCACTCGTCAGCTTTCTAGAAAAGTTCACGCAGAACCTCGTACTTAAAAAATATTTATTTAAATTCAATTTTTGTTAAATATTTATATTCAACAATGTATAATTTCTAACGTTCATCGAAAAAAAACTGCTTTAAAATCTACAAAGAAGAAAGATTTATGAGGGACTATTTTTTGTGGTGAAAGGATATTCAGCAGAAATTTCTGCAATTCTGCACATTTATTAAATTTAATGTCTTGAAATTTAGCCTCACATACTTTTACTCGGAGAATATTTTCCGTTATGATTTTGCAGGAATATTTAATATAGGTCTGAATTTATATTTTTAGAACAAGTTTTACACCTTCCCTCAACAAATTTTGCCAAGAAATGAAGATATTCTAAAGAAGTCAAGATAAAATTAACAGCATTTTTTTGCCTGCAAATCATATATTTTGACCAATATTTCAAAATTAACATCAGTGACCCAAACTTTTTCTTTCATTATTTTAAACAACTCGATACTTGTGACTGATTAGCACTTAACTCCTAAAAAGCTTGATAAAATAAAATATTTTATTCTCTATTTAGTTTTTAAATACCCCAAATATGTTATTTTTTTTAGTGCACAAAGGTCACACAATAATAAACGCTCATTAATATGCAAGATTTATTCACTGATAAATATTATTAAACTATTTTATGCATAAATAGATTAAATTTATTAACGTAGTAACATCTTATAAAATAAAATTAGAGATAAAGTAATAAATCAAAGAGTTAAAATTTAAGTGCAAAAAGGTAAGCTTAATTTTACCATAGATCAGTAGGATGCACACTGACCCCTTATTTTCTCTGCGAATTTGAGTCACTCTATATGAGTACTTATCCAAAATATACTTCCCAAAACATCCTTGATTTAACAAATTTGACGAGTGACTTACCTTAAGCTTTACTTGAGTTTTTCGTGTTTTTCTTCTTTATTTTAAGTATTTCATTCCGACGACTGAGACTTTTTATTGGATTATCTATTTATAAATACATATATACATATCAGAAATCATTTATATATGTACTTAAAGGTGATATGATAAAATGCAATAGATGTTTATATCTTTTCCTTATTAATATATTTAAATTTTGTTTTCACAGGATATTGTCCTGTATATACACTGATTGGTGCAAAAATTCACCATAATTATGCGCGTAAGTGCCAACAACTTTTTAAGCCTTGCCCAGAAGATTTTGAATCAAATAATCTTCATCAGTGTAAGTAGACTCAAAGTTTTTCATATCCGCACGATTCTATATTTAAATTGACTTAACTTATCTGATATTAAAATGAGGAGTCGGTAAATTAATCCGTCATTGTATTAAATCTCCGATATAGATGAAGTGCAATTGATTTAGATACATGTAAGTGTAATGTACAGCCGGGGAAGTTATTCATTATATAAAGCATCAAAACAAATAAGAAAATATCTTTTTAATTTTAGTTAGTCTGATCCTTTAAAAAAAAAAAAAAAAAAAAAACGCATTACATGACTTTACGTGGGTGGACACAAAGTGGAATAACTTTAATTAACCTTAAGTTTTGTCGGAGTGACTCAAGTCCATTTTTTTTATTTCATTGAATGACTCCAAGATATTACAATTCCAAATTCCTTCAACCTCATGAAGGAAATTGAAAAGGGGGGGGGGGAGGGTAAACCAAAATAAAAGGTAAACCCAAATTTTCAATACATAGAAAATGTCTATATTTGCAAAAACATTAGCCCCCCGGTTCCGACGCCTATGCTATGCTACATTGTACACCAAAATATGTATTTGCATAACTAATATCACGTTGTAAACGTTCGAAACATTTTAGTTACTAAAATGCATGCAAACTGGAAAAAATTAGTATAATTATAAAACATTTAAGAAAAAAATAATTTTCAAAGTATGAAAAAATCAAAATCGCTCACTTTTACATCCTGAAGTGACCTTATCACCAAAAAATTACCCATCAAGTTCAATTATTTATTATACCTGATATTTGTAAGAATATCGACCTTGCACTTTTTTTCAAAGTGCGTTAATAATGGTCGATAATAACACACTTAAAAAAAATTCAAAGAGCGTAGAATTTGTCCCAAATTTAACACACTTTGAAAAAAAAATTCAAAGTGCGTTGTTGATTGTATATTGTTTAACGTCCCCCTCCAGAATATTTCACTGATATGGAGACGTCCGTGTCATTGCAACACCACGGTAAAGTTGACGAATATTTATTTATATATGGAAGCGCTATTGTGTTTCCGCGCTTGACTAACCAAAAAGTCAAATACGGGTGTGGATAAAAAAAAACAAAATATCACATTTGTTTATTTTTATTACTAGTGAGAGCGCTAAAATTTATTTGCACGAATGCATTCCAACTTGCATTTGCGCTAAAATATGTATGCACCATTTTTTGTTCTTTTTACAGTATTTACATGGAAGCATTCTCAGCTAGTGTAGATTTTCAAAACATGACCCCCACTGTAGGTTGGGTCCACAGAGGACGAACAAAGTTTTACATAGGAAAATATAGAGAACATCTTGAATTTTTTTTTCATGACCCCCATGGGTAGGGTGGGACAACAATGGACTTGAAAGTCTAAAAAAGGAATACATAGGAAACATCTTGAAAATTCTTCTCAAGGACAACAAAGCCATGACTGGTCATGTATTTATATTTAAGCATTCTCAGGTAGTAGTTTCAAGTTTGCACAAATCGTGATTTTCGTGTGTAGGGTGGGACCACAAGTGATGATCAAATTAAACAAAAAATATATAGGAAAAATCAAGTCTTATTAAGAACAATAAAGTTATATATGTGTATCCTCTGGTACTGCAGATTCACAAAATGGGAATTCCGTGTAGGATGCACGGTTATTATATTTAACTCACTATCGTTTATTCAATCGTCAAATTAATTATTTTTCCGACAAAACTTCTGAGTTATGTACAGTGCATTTATATTAGCCATATCGACGGATACCTTTGGTTGATCTCGTCTATGCGTATCACCCAACCGCAAACTTGCTGATATATCGCAATTTAAAGTTAATCTGTAGATAGTAGACAACCAATTCGAAAGTTGGAGCTCTTCAATTTTGAAAATAGGTTGTTTAACTTGCAGTTAATAGTAAATATTTTGATATTTGTTTGTTTAAAAACCATTAAAGTTCATTCGTACAGGTCAAAGGTGCTTATGGACATCCCTTTAAATATACAACCTCGGGACTTGTTGGACATTTTTTTCATAAATTATATTTATAAAACTTATTCATCATAAGTACAATAGGAAAAAAAATTAAAGTTAATCTGTAGATAGTAGACAACCAATTCGAAAGTTGGAGCTCTTCAATTTTGAAAATAGGTTGATTAACTTGCAGTTAATAGTAAATATTTTGATATTTGTTTGTTTAAAAACCATTAAAGTTCATTCGTACAGGTCAAAGGTGCTTATGGACATCCCCTTAAATATACAACCTCGGGACTTGTTGGACATTTTTTTCATAAATTATATTTATAAAACTTATTCATCATAAGTACAATAGGAAAAAAAATCGTTAAAACCTAAAAATAATTGCGCCACAAAAAATACTTAGTACTCCAGTTTACATTATAAGAGAAAAAGATATGCCACCCCATTTGTTTACGTTGTACCCCCACTGGTACTTATGGGTTTAAAACATGTATTTCTTTCATTTCAACTTAAAATGCAAATTCACCCTTTCTCTACATATATTTATGCTTTAGTTCATGCTTTCAGATTGACTCTGCATCTTGTAAGAATCCCACAAAATCTCTTTAACAGCATTCCAGTCTGCACGTTGAAATTTCCTTAAATAACTCGTCGGAATCTCATATAGATAATGGAGAGGTTGAGATCTTAAACTTGTATGCGTACGTGTATTTGTACATATTTTGACGTACACGTACACGTTTTTTTAAATTTGTCTGTTGAGATTTTTATGACGTGTAACATGTACGTGTACACCGCGATCGGTGTCTCTGTTTCAACTATTTCGAAGGTTTTTTGTCGTCAGTTGGTAAACAAAACTTGATTAAAATAAGTGCTCGTGAAAGTAAACATCCTATATAATGTATAACAATCACATTTTAACACTTAAATTGGCTAATTTTTATTATTAAAGCTACACGCGCTCACTTACGTGTATATTCCATTCTACACGTTTTACGAACGTGTAACAATCTTGACGTCACTAAAATTGATGACGTAATACACACAGAATTTAGGTTATTTCCTTGCTAGACGTACCCGTACACGTTTGAAATCTCAACCTCTCTAATGTATGATAGCACCTGACAGATTTTTACGTCATGCCAGAACTCTTTCGGACGTTATCTATCCTAATAAGTGAATCCTAGGGAAATTTCAAGGAGCAGACTGGAATTATGTCTAAGGAGAATTTGAGGGATTATTACGAGAGGCACAGTTAATCCGATACAAAGGACTAAGACAGAAATCTACTGTAAAATCACATATTTTCATGGGGGTCAAATTTTCCTGGTTTGAGGAAAAAAAGTTGGTTCGTGGGAATTTGATTTAGTGTGTGAAGAACTTTTTAGTAGTGTAGTTGTGCATATGAAAATTTTACATTTCGTGGTGGTAATAAATTCGTGGGTCCTTTCATACTTCGAAATCTTAAACAAGATTAACCCCAAAAATTAACCCCCAAGTAAAATTCTGATTTCACAGTATGTAGACACGGTATGAATCGACAATATAAGTTGAAATGAAATAAATACATGTTTTAAACCCATACAAACCAGTGCGAGTACAATTTTAAGAAATCGGGGTGGCATACCTTTTTCTCTCATAATGTATATTGGGGTATTTTTGAAGAGCGATTGTTTTAGGGTTTTACTGATTTTTTGTCCCTTTTGTACTCATGATGAATATGTGTAATAAATTTGATATGTGAAAAAATGTCAATAAACCCTGTGGTTGAATATTAGGGGGGAGGGCACAAGACGAAAGACCACCATTATCGCTTTATGGTAGCTTAATGGTGACTTAATTGTGCCTAAAGAAGTTAACTCCATTAAGCCACCATTAAGCCACCATTAAGCTGCAACTTACAGGTGCTTAATGTCCAAACTTCATTAAGCTACCATTAAGCAGCCTTTAAGCTGAGCTTAATGGTGACTTAATGGTCAAACCTAATTAAACTTTTACATTTTACGCATTTTATATCGAATATTTGATCTATCTTTTTATTTCAATGCCATTCACGCAAATTTTTGTCTCAATCGTCATTTTTATAACATTTCTGTCAACATGGAAAATCTCGGGCACTAGCTGAGAATAAAGTTAGCTAATATGGGCTTGCTCTCGGTTTCTAATAATATTTTTTAATCATTTACAGTATCAATAAAAAAGAAGTTTTATCTTATTACCGCATATGAATTTTTTTTTTAAATGAATAATTATTAAATACTTTGTTTTAATTATTTGTGTATATGATTTTTGTTTTAAAAATTAATAATTAAATTATTACACGCCGGGGCCAAATCCCTGTGAAATATCTTAATTTCTCACTACCGAAAATCAATTTCTTCTTGAAAATATCTTTATCCATAAACACAAAATATATATTACTTTAAAAGAGAGAGAGAGAGAGAGAGAGAGAGAGATGGCATTTTTATTTCATGTGTTAAAAACAACATATTCCGCTACTTAATTCCCAGGAATATAAAGTCATATTCTCATGAGAAAAAAAATTGTTTTGTGTGGGTTTTTTTTTGGAGGGGGGGGGGGGGGGGGCTGGGGCCACAGGTATATAAAAATGTTTAGTTTTCAAAGTGTGACTTTAACAGAATGAATAATTTGAACTTATTCGTTTTTTTGTCTTATATAATGCAGTGGTAGGTATCGGTCAAAATCAAGTCGGTCTTCAATCATTGTTATTTCAAATCGATTTTCAGAAGAACAGCCGATCAGATTATAAACATGACATCCGACCAGATTTATACTCATTGGGAAACGGGGTAAGATTAACAGTGTACAGTACCGACTGGTTAAACAATAGACCTTAATTAGGTGTCCACCGTCCCTTGTCAACTAACAGGAAACTATACATACACAACGTACACTAACAGATTTTAATGATCAATTATTTTTTACAAAATTTAAATTAAATAACGCAAGCATATAACAAATTAAAATTATTATTCATTGTAAAATGGCAATTATTTTGATACCCATTATGATACACAAAACATAACCGGGTAACTCGTACACGAGGATTTTCACTAGGCCTAAATCTTAGACACGAAAACCGTTAATATCCGCAGAATATTTTATTATTAAAAAAAAATTTCATCTATCTTTCCCGATGATAGATTTTTTGTGTTTTATCTATAATTAATTTTATTTCAATCATGATTTCATGCTTACACGTATAAATCTTCGAATAACGGAGCGAAGAATTCATTACAATTTAAAAGCCGAACTCAACGGTTTAGAAATATTAATGCGATGTAAGCCTTTTAAAAAGATCCATAAATAAAAATGTTTATAGTTTGATTAATAAGTCAATTCAAGACTCTGGAGACGTTCAACAAAATAAATACTTTTATAAGTCCAAAACAAACTTTCTGCAAAATAAATGTTTAAAATTTTCCGTTTAATATTAAGAGCGGTATTAGCCAAATGGTTAAGGTGACTGCCATCTACTCGAAGGGTCATGAGTTCGCGCCCCGTGTATTTTTTTTTTTTTTTAATTTTGTTCTTTTTTTTTATTTTTACCAAATCAAGATATGTGTGAACTCTACATTTGTAATGACAAATCACTATAATGATAATTTTTGACCCATATATAAAAACAGTAATATCGACTTCGTAATGATGGCTTAATGGTAGCTTAAAGGAGTTTGGACATTAAGCACCTGTAAGTCTAACTTAATGGTAGCTTAATGGTGACTTAATGGTGGTCTAAAAGTTACCATTAAGGACCTGTAAGTCACAGTTAAGCTACCATTAAGCTACATTTAAGCATCCATTAAGGACTTTGTGATGGCTTAATGGTGGTGTAAATATTTTTTAAAGATGCTTAATGGTGACTTAATGGTGACTTGAAGACAACCATTAAACCACAATTAAGGACCTATAAGCCACAATTAAACCAAGCTTAAAGGGTGTGTTTCATCTTGTGGGGGGTCCTGTCCACAAGTACCTGCGTTACAGGTCACTGACCTTAAATACTGGTCAGATATTTTATGGGAGTGCCGTTTTTGAACTGCAAAATGCATAGAAAGATGAATACTATAAGTAATCAATGTGCTAACTAAAACCCAAAAACTACGGGCGTGTTTGCATTAACGGAACATACATACAAAACATGAACTTTGATTCCTTCATTTGCAATCGCATGTTCAACAACTAATCAAATGAGCCGCGCATTTTAATAATAAACGAAGATTTTTCGGATAATTTTCCCACGGATGAAAACGTGGTCGTCCGTTAGTGATTCAATGATGATTTACTAAAAGTTCAGTAGTACATGCATTCTTTATATTTAATCAATGTATATACCCTGACCCTTAAAAATCTATTGTTTTCTATAGCTATATTTTTATAAAGCATCATTTTGTCGCGGTCGAAATGAACATTATTATGCTTGTAATCATATTTTTGCTTAAAATGTCACTCATTTTTCGCAATCAAAATTCTTGAGTATATAAATATATAAATATTTTTTGTTCAACTTCAGACCCCGAGTGCTTAGAACTACCTACAGGACCTACCTTGAACCCCGATCCTCCGGCTTCTTACTCTGAAAGAATGCACTTTACTAAAAGAAGGTGAGACTTAAATAATTATTCATTATGTTTTTTTTTAGCATAATACATGTAATATACAGCAGAATACATGTATGTCATGCATTTCAACGCATTTATGATTAAGGTAATGCACGCGAGATTCTGGTTAATATTCAATTTACTCTTTCAGATCAACATGTTTGCTGATTGTGTTACTGTTAAAGGCCTTCACTTCTTTCCGAATGATGATTTAATTCCCTTCTTTTGTCCCATGATCGAATTTTGATAATTTAAAGGAAGTGTAAATAAAAGGCCTTCATATTTTAAAATTGTATTTGTTTTAAGAAGACTTTACTTATTGATCAACCCTCGTATGTAGATATAAAGTTTTATTTTACTATTTGTAAATATATCACAGAAGGATATGTTAAATTTTTCGTGTTTTTGTATCCGTATAACTTGTTGTTGTGTGTCAGCTATGCTGTAATTCTTTATTTTAATCTGAGAATTTCGTTGTATGATTTATGTATTTTTATTTGTGAAGAATTTGTACATGCAAACTCATCATTATTTGTAATGGGGATATATAGATTTTTGTACATCTGAGCATTTCTGATTACATTTTTTCCGTCGTCCGCCTATAACGGTTTCAATTCTTCGACATCTTCTCAAAAACCACTGATCCAATTTCAACTTAACCTACCACAAAGCATCCTTGGATGATGGATATTCAATGTTAAAAAATTTGATGACATGTTTTTAAAATCTTCTTTTCAAGAACCAGTGTGCCAGAAAAGATGAAACTTTAATGGAAACTTCCTCAGGTAGTGTATATTCAAGTTTGTTCAAATCCTATGCGCCGGGATAGGGTTGCTGGACCACAATTTGTGATCATATTTTTATTGCTGCATGAACTATGAGCAATGCTTTACAAAAGAATCTTCTCAAGAACAACAAGGCCATGGTTTGTCACATTTATATGGAAGCATCCTCTGTATGTGTAAATTTAGATTTGTTATATCATGATGACGGGATGGTTTAGTTTGGTTGGGTGGGGGCAAAATATAAGTTCAAATGTTCAAATTAAAAGTTCAAATTAAAGGCAAAGGTAGTCAAAGAGATATGCAAGCATCCATAGTTAGAGTAGATTCAAGTTTGTTCAATTCATAAACTAACAAGCTAATTCAGAGAATTTGTGTCTCCCGCTTAGGGAAAAGTAAACCATGCGCAGTTCGGGGGTCGGGGGGGGGGGGGGGGGGGGGGGGTTTCGGATCCCCTTCACTGAATTTGTAGAATTATGAAATGTATACAAATGTATACATACAATGTAAGCAAATAAAATATGCCAATATGGATATAAAGGTTTGATGGATTATTCTTTATTATGTGTTGAAGATTCTTTTTTATTTGGAATATCTATCACACTGTAATGATGATATTATGAGTTTGTACAAGCCAGACCTCATAAATTTTTCATTTCACATGCTGAATACTATCGTTTAGTAAAAAAAAAGAAAAGTATTTCAAAAAAACAAAAAAAAAACGGATCGTCCGAGATGCGAAACCGGGCCCTCTCACATTTGAAGCGAGAGACACACCACTAGACCACGGAGCCGTTGCAATATGGCGACAATTGTATACAAACATGAAGTGACATACATGTGTATTTATATTCACGTTCGATATTGTCAAAATTTTACACAATACATGGTGTCTAATTTAACCTTTATTAAACAGTTCTAATAGATGTAACAAGAATATAAAGTCCACCGAGAACCTGTATTATACGTAATAATTCTCCTCATGTCCCTATGCTAAAAATAGCGACATGAAATATAATAAATACTAGAAAAACAAACTTTGAGAGGAGTGAGAGAGGTCCTAGGGAGTTTTGGTATAATATTACATAGCAAAAGCTCAAAATCTTCTTGAAATATCGCCCGAAAATGATAGTGTTTCATACAACAAGAAGGTATAAATTTACGACCTTGAACTTTGACCTTTTGACCTCAAAATCAATAGGGGTCTTCCTTAGACCACATGGAGTTGTTATGTAAAATATCATTGCCAAAGCTCAAAGGGTTCGCGAGATATCGTGTGGAAACGAAAGTGTTATAACAGACAAAATTTGCTAATTTATGACCATGACCTTTGACCTTTTGACCTCAAAATCTATAGGGGTCTTCTTTAGTCCATAGGGAGTTGCTATGCTAAATTTCATTGCAAAAGCTCAAAGGGTTCTCGAGATATCGTGTGAAAACGAAAGCGTTACAGACAGACAGAAAGACGGACGGACGGTCGGACAAACCCAAATTAATATCCCCCATTTTTCAAGCGGGGAACAAAAATAGGTTGGGACCACTTATGTGTTTAAGCTTTTCAATAATCAACTGATTTTTATCAAAGCCACAGTACGTGCTCAGGTGAGCGATTTAGCCCATGGAGATCTTGTTGTTAATTGATGACTGAAATAAAAGACATACATGCCCAATATACATGATTGTCTTTGTTATTTTCAACTACAGAGGTAGTATAGCCACATCACTAGGTTTACAAATAGGATTTTATGTCCCAGTGTGTATATTTCCAAAGCTCTGGCATGAAAGAAATGATGATAATAAAATCATGCTCGTTGAAGAAACTTTTAAATAAGTTAAAGGAAAATGAGCATTGTAATTGTTTACAAAAATCTGTGTTATACAAAAATATAAAAGTGGCTAAGGTCAACTATTTAATATTGGTTTTAACAGTTTTATAAAGTATTTCTTTTTTTCTTGTCTTTGCACTAGATTGCCTGTATAAACCTGATTAAACGGAAAAAACTGAAAATTGTCCCCGGCCACAAATAGCAACGCAGTACAGTTAAGGTGCGCGATGGAAATATCAACTAAATTTTGTATTTAAAAATGTATTCGTAATCGGGATGGCGATTATTTTTAGTACATTATTCATATCGGATAATTGTAATTATGATTAATAACTACATATCGAGGACGATTATATTTTATATTTAGACAAGTCACGTGATGCGGCAGTCACGCGATATACAGTGAAAACTGTCTAATCCGACACCTGAATAATCCGACACACTGTGAATTTTGACATTAAATTTCTTTCCCCTTTTACTACTTTCCTTGTTTTTAACACTCTGCAATCCGACACCCTGTCTATTCCGACACGAAATTTGTCTCCCAGTGCATGTCGGATTAGACAGGTTTCACTGTATTAGCACATTGACTTGAAGTATTGATGTTACATATAAATATCACTAGTGCAAGGGCATAACCGAGTTTAATTTCCAAGTTTAGTATATAATTATTTTCAATACACATTGTAGTTTCTAAAAAGTGCTGCAATCCTATCTAAATTCTGCAATTTCATTGTAAAAATTATACTTGTATGACCGAATTCTATATTTTTTGCTGGTCAGCGGCATGAAATATTGATATAATTAAATTATTTTCAAGATTTCATCAGGATCGCAGCACTTTTCAGATACCTTAATAATTCTATGTTTGAAATTTAAAAGCTTACTTTGATCTATAGAGTGTATGCCCTTGCACTAGATCGATTTATTAAGACCCCCCATTATCCTCCGATGTACTTGCATACAAATACACGGCAGTGTCAATTAAATACGTAATGTACAGAAAATATATTAATAAAATAGTGAAGAAGACATTAAATTCAAGTTATTGGCCCATAGAATATCTGTAAAAAAATATTTTATGTAATTAGAGAATACATATTTTGTTGAGAAAATATTACTTGATCTGTCTCTCACTACATACAAACTACGTCACGTTGTAAGAAATGACGTCATATTGACAAGTCTGTTGCGATCAGTGTCTTGTTTATAACTTGCTAAGTGGGATTAAACTAACGACAAATTAACACGTTTTAGTAAGTTTTTATGTAGTCTGATGATTTCTTACTGGTTAAATTAGCAGATAGACTCATTTTGTGTTATTTTAAAGAAATGTTGTATGACGTATTTTGAGAATGATGTCATAGTCAAGTTTTCCCGTACAAATTAGGCTCCGCCTCCTTTTCGTAACCTTAACTGTGCTGCGAAGATGCACGCTTGCATTTATTTTTCGGTATTCATGTTGGTTAATGTGCTGTTTTTGCATGCGGACACGTGTACGTAATGTGGTTCCAGTTTCTGCGATATAGAATTATCCACATCCTGCACATGTAATACAATAAATTACGTTTTTAGAATCGCAATTCATGTCTGCTTTTACGTAAAAATTTTTTTTCCCGAAATTAAAGGTACTTCCAGTTGTCATGTAATTGCAGGTTCCACAACGAAGATCGAAAATCTTTTGACTGAATATAAATGTTGTTGGTGGAATGAGGATTTTCATGATATCTTTGGTAGATTCCTTGGTTGTTTTTGCTGCTGCAAAACATACTTTTCTAGAACTTTAGCCATTTCCTCATCGGTTTTTTGAACGCTGTTTAGCTGACGAACGGTTGAGGTAATATTTTTGTTATTCGGATCGTGAGTAACCAAATAATATCTTTAAATTAAGTTTGACTTCTGGTAAAACTATACTTTCTGTCAAATTTTACTGCCTCTTTGATTCCGTCTTCAATGATACCTATAAAAAAATACTGTTCAAGAAGAAACGTTTTTAATTCAATTAGATGTTAACCTCTTATATCTTTGTCACTGACTATAGTGCATATTCTTCTTGTTAAGTTATAAGAAATCTGTGTCCGGAATTTTTTATCCAATTGGTTTATAAGGTCTTACCCGAAGGACCGGTCTGCATGTCCCACAGGGGGATTTGAAACCGCGACGTAAGGATCAACTCCTTACTTTGCAACTCCAGTACAGACACTCTAACCACTGCGCCCCGTGGGCGACATTTTGATAGAAAAGAAATAAGACATATATTTTGTGCATTTCACGTGATTGTGGATGATTCCGAGCATGCTATGACTTTTTACAACTAGACATTGACCTTATATTTGACCTAATTTCCTAAAAAATAAAACGTTGTTGACTTTTGAATGATATATGAAAGGGGGTTTATA